TCATTTTAGTTTGCTCTCCTTTTCTTTCCGCCGCAGAACCTTCCATAAAGCGACTTCGTGTGAAAACCCTCGCCAAGCGATTTCGTGTGGTGTCTTTTTCTTTTGGTTGGTTAATTCCGTCTTGTTTGAGTTTGCAGTCCTTGAGGCTTTCTTGAAGCCCCCTTGAAGGTGTGGCTTTCTGTTCTGTTGGTGTTGGGCCTCCCTTAAGCCCCCCTTCAAGCCCCCCCCTTCAAGCCCCCCTTCAATGTTAGATGTATTGGCTGATTGCTCATGTATTTTGTGTTGCAGTATTTCATGTTGACAGTTGACATTGACATTCTCACTTGACATGTGAACATCACATGTGAACATTGGCTCAAGACACAAGACACGCAAAACAGAGTTGCTGAGTGATTGCAGCATTGAGCCAAGCTTTGCTGTGTTGCTTGCGAGGGATTGAGATCAATATTGAAAGTCTCAGTGATTCAAGTTTTGCTACGACCATTGTATGCTGGAGTTTTTCATGGTAGCGGAGCTTCGGCTAAAGAGCTGGGGCCTGCTCATTGAAAATTTGCTTCAAAGTAGGATTGTACAAAGAACTTTGTTTTCGTGAGTTTTGAGATTGTTAGGATCTTAGTTTGACTGCTGAAGAACAGGCGAAGCGCATTACAAACCTATTGCATGGAAACCAGCTTGTACAGATTTTGAAACCAGAGGTTTACCAAATCTGATTGGACTGGGAGCTTGGTTGGATTGACAACAGTTTGTTCTCATACGCCATTGACGGTGAACCGGCATGCGGATTTTATTGCTTTGCAGACATCATGTTTGCATCAACAGCTTTTGATTGTTCAGTCATGAGTGCGAGGTACAGATTGCACATGTCAGGAGGACAGTCATTGAAGAACATGTACAGTCATTTCATGTGAGATGCTTGTGATAAGAGATTGCTTGCCAGTTGTATTCGATTGCAAAGACACTGTTGATGTTTGTGAGCTTGTGTGTAGGACGTTTTGAGCTGTCTTGTAGGAGATTGTTTTGTCTTGCGAAATTACACGCAGAGCGGAGGACGCATTGACATTGAAGTTGAGTCTGAGATCGTCATGACCTGATTGACTGAGGTACAGCGTTTGGAGCACATCTGCCAGGAGAAGAAACAGAAGAGATTAAAGTAGAAAATTTCTGCCTAACCCAACCTATGGGGTAGTAGTAGGCCGCGCCAGTGCCACCAGCCTCACAGAGTCCCTGTCTCAGCTGGTGTTGCCACGGAAATCCCGCGCCAGCACGTAGTGGCGGTTTCGATTGTTTTCCGTGATTGGGGGCCAGGGCCCGAGGTTCTCGGACTCAGAGTGACGGAGACGCTGACGGCGTTGTAGTGAGGTGTGCCAAGTGACGGGCCCTGCGCCCCGAGCTGAGGCCAAATTCTAGTCGGCTCGCAGCTGTCCGAGGGGTTCCAAGCACCCCCCCCCCGGCGCGCGCGAGCCGCAGCATCCTACACCTGCATCCTACAGCAACGGGCCGCCCTGATTCACAAGCCGACAAACTGCAAATGCGGAGTTCACTTCGCCCTCATACGTGGTGCATGCTATGCTGCACCGCTGTGGCAGAGACTGCATGTGCAGACGGGTCGCAGCTAGGGTTCTCTGAGGATTCTTCCACTGCGAGTCTGCGAGGTTCGCGGAGTCCCTACAAGAGTTTGGGCCTTTTGGGAGTTTTCGGTAGGGCTGGAGCATGAGAGACGAGACGACTAGGCCACTCGGAGACTCGACCGACAGCTTTTTCTTCGCCCAGAGACTCGCTGCCGCCGCTGCCGTCAGGCTGCGGCTCCTGCCAGGCAGCTTTGCGGACAGACGCGGAGAGACGACCGGACCTGGTTAAGTTCATGCGCCTCCGGAGCGACCGAGGGCGCTTGCGGGACAGCCTGCGACAAAAGCTGGCTGTGCGGCGCCTTGCCACCAAACTCCGCTACATCCCGCTACAGTACGGCAAAGCGCCTCGGCTTCAGACGCTGGCCGTTCTGGCTCCGGGTCGCACTTCTCTTCGGCGGAGGGCACGGGCTCCCCCTGCGAATGACTTGGCTCTGCTCTGAGGCCCTGGATCCACCTAACTTGGCTGGACCAGCTCCACGGGGTGCTGGGCCATGTAGAAGAGCAAGTAGGGGTGCTGCCTGGCTGGGCTCGAGACTCGAAACCCTTCAGAACCGCGGCTCTCGCGGCTCTCACTCTTCTCCGCGCCCCCGGCTCTTCCACGTCGCACCACTGGACTTGTCGCACCATCTCGTCATCGATGTGGTACCTCACAACCGGGCCAAGGCTGCAGGAATGGGCAGGACATGTGCACGTCTCTGCGTGAGTGGGTGAGAGTGTGTCGGAGTGTCCATCCGTCTCCAAACCCTCTGCACCGTCTTACTGGGTCTTAGAATTCTGCGCTCCTTGCAGAAGTCGGTGACAGTCGATCTCCACAGCCGGAACTTCCCTTCACAACCCCCCAACTCGGGGGCCCGGGGGGGCCATGTCTCGTGGCGATCGCGGGCATAGGCCACGTAATGCCCCGAAGCTGTCGAGCCCCTGGAGGCGAAGCCAAGTTGGCACGCGAACACGCGAGCAACAAACCCCCCCTCTGCCCCTCTCCCCGGGTCTCCGGAGGTCGTGATGGACGCACATCGCGTAGAGCTGGTAGAGGAGCCCTGCCAGTCCGGAATTAAGCGGAAGCGGCCTCCAGCCCGTGCCGTGCGCCTTCACCGTTCAGATCACGATGGAATCTCTCCCGGTCAGAGGCCGGAATCCACGGACCTGGTGAACCAAGGCAACCAAGTGAAGTGCACCTCAAAGGGATCACATGAGTACAACATGCAGCATCTCTGTGGATGCCGGCTGAGGTCAAGCTCCAGTGGAAAGCTCACCCTCAAGGACGCGGGCGTTGCTGAAAAGACAACCCTGCCACTTGCAGTGCCTCCTGTTGATCTTGCCGAACAAGTTCGTGTCCTGCCGGCCAGCTTTCAGTTGCAACTCCTTGCGAATGCTTCATGACTTGCTCCATCCTGACGGCGGTCGATGTAGACCACGAAGACCTCTGGTACCCGGGATCATGCCGACGGACCGGCTGCTTGTGATAAAACTGCATCTACACCGTTGTTCGCTTTGCAGCTCATGTTGTCCCTCCGATGCCGCGATTCCAGCATCACGAGCGGAAATCTCGCAGAAAATCGGAGAGGGGAAGGATGCGAAGCAACCAGTCAGGGGGTTCCTAGGTCTTGAGCCGTAATTCTGAAGACCTATCCCTGGAACACAGTGACGGAACAGTTGCCGCGAACATCTAGTGGTCTTTTCAAAATCACACTTTCCTATGTGAAGGGTTTGGGCCCAAAGATAGGCCTAGTGCAGTTCGAACCTCCGCAAGGTACAAGCCTCAGGCAAACACTTCGGAAAGAGTAGGCAAAAAGGCCACACTGCACAAGCTGCAATCTTCATCATCGTGCTGTCAAAGATGGTAACGGTGAGTCCGCATTGGGAGAAAGGCACAGGCAAAGTCAACCGCAGAGGCCTAGCCCAGACCAATTGAAAGCACATGGATCCTGGAAGACAGGACACCGAGCGAAGAATGGAGCCTTCCACCTGTGGGTTAGCACACGAAAACGGAAGAGTAGAGATGGCGGCATGGCGGATGCGACAGTAGGCCGCAATTTTGCGACACCATGTCGATCAGCACTGGACACACTCCCTTCGCCCCCTTCTGCCGTGTTCGGTCGATTCGGAAGAGGCCGCGGCGGAGCCGAGGCCGGAACATTCGGCCTCCGGCGCAGGAAGGACGTGCGACAGGCGCCTCGCTTGTTGCACCTGCAGAAAAGGAGCACTTCTGTCTTCTGTGCCTTTCTGTGCTCCACTGAACCTTTTGAGATGATGGCTTTTCACACTTGAAATCTGCGATGTGCTCCTCCTTGGTGTACCTCAGTCATCCAGGAACAGACTCTTTGCGACGAGCGGCCCAAAGCGCAGCACTCGTCCAGCAGCTTCGCCAGCGAAGTCGGGCTCGCCGAAGAGTCCGATGTCCGGCCTCGAAAACGAGTCGCGACCGTCGGCTGGGGATGGCTGGGATGGCTGGGGCCTGGGCCGGGCAGCGGCCGGCGAAGGCACCAGCGGTTCAGCTGCTTCTCGGCGCTCTCCTCGCTTTAGCAGCAGGCCCCTTGCCACCACCGCTTCGCCTTCCGCCTTCCGCCCCTAGGCCAGGCCAGGCCTGCCGGCACTTCGAAAGCTCTTCCTCCGTCATGCCCAGCGTCACCGTGAGACAGAGACAGTACTCCACCTGATCTTACGTAAGGCGAGCCCAACTCTTTAGGCGCTAGCAGTGTTGCGTGCGCCCCACCCGCGTCACCAAGGACTCGTAGCTACAGGCGTTGCAGGCCACGCGAGAACCTGCTGGGCTGCTGGTCATCTTCCGCACAAAGGCATTGCATGGCATCCAGGGAGGCGGCCCATCAACATGCTGAACACATGGCCAACCATGCTGCTGGCCTGGTATGAGACGGATTGTCGGCTTTCACTCCATGAAACGCTTGCGGCTCCTCCAGCTGCTCCTTCTCGGCGTACCTGCGCACGCGAAGGTGGGCCCCTGCTCTTTCTGTCGCCACTCCGCTTCGCTCCGCTTCGCTCCGCGCACCCGAGCTTGGAGCAATCGCCAGATCCGTCGCCGACCTTCTCCCAGTCACCGCACCCTTCTCTAGGTAAACTCGACACTCTCCCCCTGTGAACGCTCCAAGAGATCCTTAAGCTGCCTTGACGCAACCGTTGAGCCAGCGCGAGAGCAGGAGCATCAGGGCTTCGTGGGCGTCCGCTTGCCTCCCAAAGGCAAACTCCTCCGAGGCCTCGGAGCGGGTCCGAAGTGAGAGCCGAAGTTGCCGAAGCTCTGTCTTAGCTCCGCCGAGGCGCCTCGGTGATCAGCCGTTGGAGCCGCCTGGGCAAATCCACCTCAGACGCGACACGAAGACGCCGCGAGCTTCGGTGCCTCTTCTAAGCCCCTTCTCTCCTCGGGCCGGCACGTAGCGTGCGCCCTTGCGCTTCGCCCCGTCCATGAGGCGGCCTCACCGGCCGACCGCTAACAAAAAGCTGCGCGCTGAGTCTCTAGTCGAAAAACATGGCGTAAACAAACGCTACCCCCGCTTAACCGAAGCACGCCTTTCTAAGCCTCTTTTCTGGCCAGGCGCTTCTCTTTGTCGCTCCCCTGGATCACGCCTTTTGATTTGTTTACGCCTTGTTTCCCTAACAGTGGTCTTTTGTTCTGTCTCTCTCACTCTCTCTCCCCAAAGTCACGCCGATTTATGTCATGCCTGTTTTTTACGCCTCTATACACCTGCTGTCATGCCTCTTCATGCGCCTCTATACACACACACACGCACCTACCTCTTTTGGGCCACGGCAACACCTCTTAATGCCTTTCCACGCCTAGCAGAGAAGGCGCTTGAAGACGCTGAAGATGCCCCAAATATCGGGCCCACGCGGAGAACTCCTATCATACCTGGAGATTCATTCGACTAGAATATTCTGCACGTTTTGGATGTTTTGATTACTTTCTAGGCGTACTAGGCGCCTAGTTTTTGTTTGCGGATATTCGCGCTTTTTTGCGGCTTTTTGCGGGCGTGTTGCTGGTGGTTTTTTGCAGGCGTGTTGCGGGTGTTTGTGGTTTGCGGGCGTTGGCGCTGATCTGCGTGCGATTGCGGTCGAAGGTCCAAAAGCACAGAAAGATGTAGTCAAAGGAATCTCCAGGTAGCCTCTAGACTCTATCCGCTAGCCGTTTGCCCTCTCTTCCCTTCGGGCGCGTGGCTCAGATTCAGGAGCTCGGCGAGCCAGGGCTCCTCCGGGACAGGGAAACTGTTGGGGGAGCCTTTCCTTGGAGGGATTTCTCTCTTGGCTTCGGGCCGGGCCTCCGGAGGCTCGGGGCAGGTTTCACGCAGGTGCTGCCGCAATAGAGGCGTGTGGAGCAGGCACTGACAAACCTTGGCTGCAAGCGACCGAAGCCTTGCAAGGCCTTGAGGACCTGCCCTTTCTCTCTTGCCAGCAGCCTGCAAGATCTGCAAAAGCTTTTGCAAACCGAGTCGTCGCCGTCCCCCTCAGGTCTCTAGCGCAAGCCCGGGCAGATTGGCCCAGTTGCGGAATAAATAAAAACTTGGTACAGGAAAAAGCGGCCGACATCGTACCGAATTTGGCGATTCATGCCCCCAGTCCGTCTGGCCTGGTGCGGAATCGAAAACTCTCGTTAATGATTCGGAGATATTCGGAGCCTGGATGGGCTAAAGGCTCCTACGAATGCCTGCTGCATTGCAAAAGGCAAAACTTAGCAAATGCGCACGTATAAGCTGACCCGAGCACTTCGATCACCTGAGCAAAGCAATGCGAGCAAGTGTACCTTCCGACCCCTGCTGGGGGCCCTTCGACGGGCCCTTTGGTTTGCTCAATCAGCACAACCGGGTCCATGTGAAACCCCAACCCAGTATTGGGTCCCCTAAAGCTGAAACACAACTCGCTCGGGTTCAGAGCCGCGTCTGCCCGCAGCACCCTTGCCTCGATCAGTCTGAGCGCCTTTGGCGCCCTTCCTTCCTCCTTTGGCACCTTGTCCGCTTGAAGGGCCGGACTTCCCAGCTCCTTTCTGGCTCCTGCCGGGCCCTGCTGCCCCTGCCGGCCTTTGGTCCTCGCGGGAACCTGCAGAGCACCAGAGCACTCCCAAATTTCAGTCAAGGAATCCGCTAGTTGTTTAAACTCGTGTCTAGCTTCTGCCCAGCCTGATTCCGCAAGGCCTGGGTTGTTCTGTCTCCTCAGTCACACGACGGACAGCTTGCAGCATGCCGGCCGCGTCGCCCGACTCCAACTCTCCAGAGCAGCGACAACGTAGCAACACAAACGGACTCAGATCTCTCCTTCTTCGGAGTTTCAGTTGCAGGCTTCGGCTGGTGTGCTCTCTCTACGGCTCCCAGGGATTACAGGCTCAGATCTTCATTGGGACGTTCGCAGGCTTTGGCTCTTCGGCTGGTGAGCTCCTCTTCGGTCCTGCCGGAAGGCTCGTCTTTCTTGGACCCCAAACTCAACACCGGTCGAACTTCATGGCACCCTTCGTCCAGTACTGACGAGTCACTCTAGTCTTGGCGCTGGAAAGGGACGGGAATCCTTGGTCCCTGTCGTCTGCGTGCAGGTCTCTGGGTGGGGCTTCGTGAAGCTTCATTTCGTGGAAAGACGAACTATTGATACTTGAAAACACGCTTGATGTCTGTTCTCAAACTTTCACACTTGCAAACTCACAGCGCTTTTGATCTTTCAAGCAATCAAACCCTCAAACTTCGAGAGCCGTTCGAACTCTGTCGCGACTGAAGTTTGGAGATTGCGTTCGAAACAGAGCTCGAAAGAACGACAGTTTGAGAGGTTGCAAGTTTCGAGCTGCATGCCCATATCAAACTTGCCCCGGACTTTCCGGCATCTTTCAAAGGTTGAAACTTTCAAGATTCCACCGACTCGAAGTTACAAAGCCTGAAACCGAAAGCTTCGAGTTCAAGCTTTGAACTCTAAGTTCAGCATCCTGCGCGGAGAGGTGCGCCAGCTGATGCCAGCTGAGCAGCTGTTCTCAGCCGAAGACTAGCTGACCAGCCCGGTGTCAAGTCCAAGCGTCCCTGCGGCGCGGGACGCACGGGCTCGCTGCTCCTCGTCGAGCAAGACCTCCTGCAAAGAGGAAGGAGGATAAGGAGGCAAGATGGCATCGATCCGCTTTGCCGGCCTGGCTGACGTGGCTTCGGATGGCCTCTGCCAAGGAAACCGGGACTCCTCCGAACCGAAGTGCAGGTTACAGCTCAGGCCGGAGGCTCCGCGACTCGGATATCAGCGGTCCTCCGCTGAAGACGCAGGGCGCCCTCGGGTCATTGACGGCCTCCGCGCTCGCTCTCCTCTCGCGCTCCCTTCTCGCGCGCGGCCTCGCGCTCCCGTGCCTTCCAGCCGCATTTTGCGAAAAAGAAGGCCAGGTTTCGAGCAAGTCCTTGAACGAAGGCTTCTGCAACCGCCGAGATGCCAGGATGCTCCGCGCCTCCAACACAAGCCCTACTGCTTCCTCTGGATTCCCTTTTGGTCTGCGGGTATTGCCGGGTGCAAACAGGCCGCCGAGGTTGCAGACGTTCCGGAAGACGGTGAAGTAAGCTTTGCAGCTCGCGGGATCTTCGAAGTTCACGAAAGCCAACTTGGCCCATGGCAGGTAGACCTTGCGAGCTTCAGAGGGGCCCCCGCCATTGAGGGCTCCCCGCCCCCCGTGCATCGCTCCCCTTGCCCTGGGAACTTGGCAAAGTCATACCTCGGAGCCTGGAAGCCTCGGTCGGCGGAGCCCAACTTATCATATAGCACAAAGCAAAGCAAAAGCAGCAGTCTCTGAGCTCCCCCGAAATTCGACCGAGATCGGTGCCGAGGGCTGCTGTAGTGACATTGAGCATGGTCATGAGCTCCGAGTAGGTCATCTTCGAAACGGTGCTTCGCAAGACCAGGGTTGTAGTACCTGAGAGAGCCCTCCAAACCCCTCTGCCCCAGCGGCGCCCTCTGGCGCCCTCTGGCGCCCCCCTGGCGCCCCCCAGGCGCCCGGCCATCACTCAAGGTGTCGGCCCCATCGAGCGAAGCATGCATGGCTCTTCGGGCTCTTCGCCTCGGAACGCCCGCGGCCTCCCCACCTCTCGCTCTCCGCTCGCTCCCCGCGTCCGAGGCTCCTTTCGCATTCTGCTAGGACCCTGGTGGCGACATGGCTGCGGGCTCGGAGCCGACACATCACAGGCAAGTCCATCTCCATCAGCGCGAAAGGCATGGACTTGACCTGGGTTTCTGGCTGCACTGAGGTAGCAATTGTTGCTCCAGTTGGTAATGCCCACTCCAGGCTCCTGCAACACACAACAGCTTCGTTTAGGTCTGACGTGCTACTCCCCATGATAGTGTTCACGAGATCTCTGTACTCTTTGATTGTCTTTCTTGCCGGCCCATGTTTGCACCTCCAAGTAGGTCGAGCTTTCCCGCCAGCGCGAACGCGCGAGCCTCCCGCAGAAGTTTGACGACACAATTCGCAGCTCAACGTTTTGCGCATCGGCACTGTGCACGAATGTGAGCTCCAAAAATCGTCGGCTTCCATGCAAATGAAAGCCGTGAAGCACACATCATCTGCACACACGCACCACGCTCGCAAGACTTCCGCACAGATGTATATATACCGTGCAATCAACAGAGATTGGTGAACACACGAATGTGTATCATATGGTACCAGGTGTAGTGCATGATTGTTTTCTCTCTCTCTCTCTCTCTCTCGCTCCCTCCACGCACGCACGCGCGCGCACACACACACACGCCAAGAAACCTACTCGTACGTATGTGTATGCACGTATGCATAATGCTGGCCTGAGACCCCCAGCTCCCGCACCGCATGATATCCCCCATGGCCTGTAAGTCTTGCTGGGGTTCCCGGTCTCTGCACTAACACAGAAGCAATCATGCGTGCAAGTCACGACTGCGTGCCAGCTATTTTTGCCATGTTTGGGATGCGAAGTTGCCCTGCACGTCCAAAACTTGCGAGAATCAAGCGAAATATGAATCAGCGGGTCAAACTCCAGCGACTAGTCGCAGTTTTGCGGCGTCGCGCGGTGACGATCCCCTGAAGGGGCGGGGTTGAGGGGTGTGGGTGGGTTGACCCAATATCCCCCTCCTATGGTAGGATACAGCATGGTCCGGCACTGCAATACACTTGTTTACACTTGTTTGGCTGTCGCTGAGAGAGCTGGTACCAATGAACCACTTGAGCCATATGTTACGGCACATACATGCGAGTGGCCTGTTATTGATGAAGGTACGTGACTGCACTGCATTCAAGCAAACAAGGGGTGGCGGGGCATGGGGTGCGAGGGTGGGGGGTGTGCTGTCTGCCTGCCTGTTGTCTCTCTGTCTGTATGTATTCATGTACGCATTTTCGTGTATGTATATATGGTATATGTGTATGTGAATATGTATGGAGGGATGGCTGTAAACTTGTTGTTTGCATTTACATGTGCCGTCTCAGTTCGGCACCAGGAGCGGAAGCCATCGCCGCAGAGGGGTATAGCAACGCTTGGAAGAAGATCTGACTCGGAGCGCCTCTTGGGCAAGAGGCCCATCTTACAGGGTTTAGGATTTGGGCTATCAAAAGCGAGCCCACCTCAACAGCGCCCCGAACACTTAAGGTGAAGGAAGTCTCTTGCCTCGTTGCTGGTCGGCAGACAGCTTTGTGCACTTTCCAGTGCTGCGCCTGCCATGATCCGAAGCTTTCAAGACTTTCAAGCCTTTAGAGGGCCTAAGTGCGCAAGGAAAGCTTGATCTTTGCGCCTGGCAAGCTTTGTCGCAGTAGGCTTCCTTCTTGCAGCGCCCGCACTGCGTCTTGGCGGTCCTCGCACGGTCGCCTGAATATGGACCGCTGGCCGCTGGCCCTTCGCGCGGCCGGGTCCTTCCGCAGGCGGCGCAGCGCAGGCCATCCTGAAAACCGCGGACGAGGGGATGCGGAGGCGCAAAGCAGGCTGAGCCCCGCCTTTGGCCGGGAGGCGGCCGCCGGCTCCCTCTGCAGAGATCAGAGGAAAAGAGGGCACAGTTGCACCCGAGATTCGACTCGAGGCGAGCGCCTCTTTTCTGCAGCTCCTTCCTCGGCTGCCTTGGGGCCCAACGGAAAAAAGGGGCGGCGCCTTGGGGCGGCACCGGGCGGCCTCCGGGCGGCACCGCAAAGGTGCCGGAGAGCCTTTGCCTCTGTCCCTGAGCTGTCCAGGCGTCAGGGCATGGTGCTCCAGCCACTGCACGCTCGCCGCTACAGTAGACCGCTAGACTTAGACAGGCAGCAGAGAAGTCCTGTCACATGGTGGGGCTTCTGCAGCTGCCTGGGGCGAGTGGGAAAGCCCACTAGTGGGCCGCGCTTTTTCGTTGGCACTCTTGGAATCCGATCAAATCCAGCCTCGCTTTGACTGTGTCGCCGACACCTGCGCCCAGATGAGGCTCAAGAAGGTCCACAGCTCTTTGCGTAATGCCGCACCGACAGACGAAGGAGGCCCCCGTTTCTTGCACGTGTCGGGGGTGGCGAGAAGAGCCACCACCGAGATGCAGAAGGTCACATCGAGCAGAGGCGTGGCCTCAGAAAGCCAAAGAAAAAGAGGAGTGGAGCGGCTCATTGCCTGCTGAGCGGCTGTCCAAGGACCACACCGCACAAACCTACAAAGAAGCGTTCTGAGCCGCAAAGCCGCAAAGAGTGTCCATGGCTGCCCTGTGCTCTGAGGATGTCATGACTGGCAAGGATCTTGCAACAAGATGGTTTCTTTTGAGGAGAGGGGGTCACTTCTGGGCACTTCCGACCACGGCTGCAGGGCCTCGCCTATGCTTTGGGCACTTGCCGAGCATCCGGATCAGAAATGTGTGAAACAACGACGAGTGACTAGAGTACAAGGCGCGCGGATTCTGCATCTGCTGGTCGCTGCGCTCTTGAAATGATGGCGCCCCCTGCGTAGCGCTCTTGAAGACCTTTGCTCTGGCAAACCACAACCCCGCCTCCACTAACGTTGTGACCGAGCACCAGAAATCCGTAGGTGGAGTCCTGGCTGTTCAAAAAGGGAGCGCAGGGAGGGCCGCGGCTGCTGTTCGCAGCATGTCCTGGCACATGGCAATCGGCTGGAAACCTGGCGAAGGCGGCCAAGGCGGCCAAGCTCAAGCTCCATTTTGGTTTCTTGTCAAGCCCTCAAGTCGTGGCCGCAGCACTCGCATCGAAGCGCGCCCTGGGAGAGGGGTTTCGTGAACGAAGGGGCAGGGCCACGCACACACACAGCCACACCCTCCGCTCTCCGCTGCGAGAGAGAGATGGGGAGGCCTCCAGCGGCCGAGGCTCCGGGAAGAAAGCAAATCCCAGGCCTCTTTGCGAAAGCGAAAGCGGAGCGGGAGAAAGCGGAGCGCAAAAGCAGTCTAAGAGCGGGAGAAAGCGGCAAAAGCGGCGGTCGCAGCCTCCACATCTCCGCTGGCCAGCAGCGCCCAGAGCCGCCCGCCCCTGCGCAGCAGAAGGGAAGAAATCGCAGCGGCCCGGGCTGCAGGAATCTGCAGGATGCTGCACGCTGCTGCGGGCACTTAGCGAAGCGGGGCCCCCGGCCGCTCCATGTGCAACGCTGCCACCGCCTGCAGAAATGGGCTTGGAGCGTTCAGAGGCGGCGGCTTCTGGGCTTTCTCCGCCGGCCTTGGAGGGGTCTTGGAGCGGGGCATCCAAGCCTCCAACAAAATAAGACTCTCCGTTTCATTCCTGGCCCCCCTTTCCGTCCGCTCCTGGCTGTAGCTTCGTGGGCTCGAGATGGAGGCCGCCCTCCTCCTCGATATGCCCTCTCAGAGAGACGGAGACAAAGAGAGAGAGAGAGGGAGAAAGGACGGAACTCTCATTGCCCTCGGGCCGGCCGGCGAGCGGAATGGCCGCCACAGGGATCAAGCGGCCGTCCCATCCTCCAAAGACCCGTGCCCGTTCTTCCCCATTCTGCCCCGTTCTGCCCCGTTCCCCCTGAACCTGCGAGGAGCAAACAGGAGTCCGCCGAGGCCTCGCTGAAAGTCTGCGACTGCGCCAATGCCTCGCCACACTTTCGCACCTCCTCGGGCAAGAGAGTCGCCACCTGCCAACTACCGACGCTCTCGCATTGCGCACTGGCACTCTTGAACGGCAAGGCCTGCTTGCAGGTCGTGATGCTGCCCGCCACTCGCAACCACGGCCTTGGCCCAGGGCCCAGCCTTCAGACAACCTCTTATAGCTTTAACAACTTGCAAAAACCTCCAAAAGTGGGCCAAGTAGCGCTTGATCTTCCAAGGCCAAAGCACTTCGAGGATGGCCTTAAGCCGGATCAGAACAGGCGGACAAGGCACAGGGAGCAGTTCTGCACATCCGCCTGGACGCCAAACCTCGATTCGGCCCTGGCGTGCAAAACACGTTCGATGACTCCACCACGCGGCCGCGCGTTGAACGGCTTCTGGCCTCTGCTGGTGCGAAGAGGAGGCATTGGGCAAAGGAGCCGGCACAGGCCGAACCGACGGCAGGCAGACGGCCACGCCAGACCTGCAAAGAAAGTGTCCGACCAATTTTCAGCGGATCCCTGCAGAGGGGGGCCTCGCCTCGTCCAGGCGCACGGACAAGGACCCGTCGGCCGCTGCTTCACCGGCTCCGGCGGCTTTGGCGGAAGCGGCATACACGGCCTCGACTGCGGGCTCCAGGTTCTCTCTCGTTATCTCCCGCTGCAGGCCGGGAGACCCGACAAAAGGGCTCGCGACAAGGAAAGCTTGGTCGGAAGGGCAGAGAAGTCCCTCGCACGCATGAAAGCATCACGGCGTCGCGTCTTATGGGACTAGGACAGCTTCTCACCTGTGGCCGGAAGAAGCTCCCGTGAGGCCAATCCTTGCAGCAGGGCAAAAAGGAGAACTAAAGAAGCTGCAGCTGAGCCACCGGCAATGGCCATCTGATCGAAGGGCCAAACTGAGCGTTCCGGACTCGAAGAGCACACGGCTCACAAGAGAGAAGGTGGAGCCCGCGCCTTGGGCCTCACATAACCTGACAGCTGCAAAGGCTTTCCGACGACGCCCGGCCCCTCACCCCGCCTCCGCTCGTGGGCCGGGTGCTGCTGGAAGTCCACCTGGTAGACGTGGACCTTTCCGGCAGCAGCGAAGCAGCTGAAGCTCCAAGGCTCCAAGGGAACTGGCAGACTCACGAGCCTCCTTGAGAAAGGCCATGATACCCGACCTTGGTGGCTGCTACAAAGGGGTGGCTTTATCAGAATAAACATCACCCCGAGTGTGAACGCTGTTTCAGAGAATTCTGCAGTCACACATCAATGGCGCGAGCGCACATCAGAACAGAAATGTCGCAGACGCTGGGGTTTCAGTCACTTTTCGTTGCAGTCTAAAGCACTTGTTGATCCTGATTTTAGATGTGAAATGTCATAGCAACACCGTTCCCCACCATGTAACGAAAGGGAAGCGCTCACGGGCGGTCATAACGGTTGCTCTTTCCGCCCATGCTGCTCCTGGCCTCCCACACACAGTTGACACACCGTGCCCTGAGGTGCCGAGCAGATCCGAGCAGTAGGCGTTTTGTTGCCGACGAACAAGCGATGCGCGCAAACGAGCGATCCCCTCTACCGAAGCTTGATCTGGAACTAGCTCCACCCGGCCAAAGCGCGTCAGAGTCGGCTAAGCATGGGGAAATCTAGAGGTAACACTGCATTCCTCTAGTGTGGACGCTGATCGGTATCAGCGCGACGACGACAACATCGACGACGGCAGAACAACCACCTTTATGTAGACACGCCGGCATTACCCCAGCGAGGACGGAACTGCTTTCCCCAGTGCGGACGCTGATCGATGTGTACAACCAGGCGATTCGAGACAAAGCGACCACGAGTAGCACAGCTCCACACTTCTCTTTGCAGGCACACCGAGCTGTCCACCAGAACCAGCAGACCTGCAGCACGCGCGTGATGTTCCGAAGCACCTGAGCGAAGCCCGAAAGAGCAAGGCAGCAAAAAAGCCCCAAACACAGCGCAGTCACTCAGTCACTTCGAGAGTGCTGGGTGAGCGCAGTGAGCGCAGCAACACACATGCGCACCGACACCTCTAGAAGTTTTTTGACGCAGCACCGCGATGGAGCCGCAGGAGCCGCGGCGATGTCGCCGCGATGGATGTCGATCCGGCTCGCGCGACGGGCGCTTTTGTCAGAAACGTGGGCTGCCGGCCCGCCCCAGGCCCAGGACGCGACCAAGAAAAACTGGGCACCGCTCGCGTCGCCTCGCGCCGTGTCGGCGTCGGCGTCTCGTCGGCGTCGTGTGGAGTTTGAGGATTCTCTTTTTCTCTGCCACCAGTCACACCTGGCAAGCTAGGGCAGACAGTGACTACACGTACTGCGACAAAAGCAGTCAAGTTGAGAAGCGCAGGCGCGTCCGCTTTGCGAGAACGAGAACCTGGAGCCAGTGCCCCAGCGGCTCTAGGGAGACAAGCTGACCGTGAAACCAGAAATCAGCAGGTCGTAGCTCTCTCTCCAGAGCTTCGGTGGCGGCAGAGCACCAGGCTCGGTGCTTTCAGGCTTCCCGCCAGCTTGTCTCGGCCAGGCGAAGGCGAAGGCGAGCCGGCAGCTGCAACAATCTCTGATGTGGATGTTTTCGCCCATCAGCACCCTTGCAGTCCAGGTTTGCTGCTCCCGCCAATTGCGAGCCTTGCACAGCCTCCAAAGATCGAAACCGAAGGCAAGCGGGCCCACGCCCAAGTGCGTCCAGCGATGATTCGCTTCGCTGGCACCGTCCGCACGGTTTTATACAAAGGCCCGTCATGGCCCATCCGGCTCGGCTAAAGTTAAAGGCTTCTGCGCTTTGAGAGGCCGGATTGGCCGCCGTCAAGTCGGAGTGCTCTCTCCAACACTCAGGAGCCGAATCGGCAGCGCTCGGCGCACCTTCGGGTTCGGCAGCGCTCGCAGCCCGGAGCTGCTCGGCTTAGCCGAGCTATGCAAAGGCCGTCGCCACGGCATGGCACAGGCGCGCCTAACGCCGCATGCAGGGTGCTGCACTGCGAGTGTGCTACTCCAGCATGCTCGAGCAGATGCAAAAAACATGCTGAGAGACTTCGCAAACTGCAGACCCATCCACTTTGGAATCCGAGTGCGCATAGCGCTCTGGCTCTACCCACAAAATCCGATTGGGCCTGCCAAGGGAGCTTCTCGGGCACGAAATGCTGGGCATTGGCGCCCGCCTCCGGCCGGACACCACTGACGCATCGCGCTGCTTGCTTTTTCCCCCCTTTTTGGTCGGTCCCGGCCATGGCCACCAGCGTCGGGTCCGCTCGGGCGCCCTGAGGACACGGAAAGCGCTTTTCTGCTCTGCTTCTGCTCTTCTGCTCTTCTGCTCTTCTGCTCTTCTGCTCTTCTGCTCTTGCTCTTTGGCGCCCCCGGCTGCATCGCGGCCGTCGCGGCCGTCCCGCTCGGCGAAGCCTCGAAACAGGATCAAAGCTCCGTCTTTTGACAGCGCCTGAAAAGATGATTCCGATTCCCGCCTCGCGATTGGCTGGGCGCAAACCTTGCAAGCGAAAATTGCAGCACCACTGCGCACACACACACACACACCCTGCTGGTCTTGCACCGCCACGGCACACTCCGAGCAAGTCTAGAAAAGCCAAACATTTGCTGCTCGTCGTCTTCCCCCTCTGAGCTCGCAGTCTTTCTCTAAGCATCAGCGCAAAACACCGCCGCAGCTTGCTTCCCACCACTTTTGGTGTTTCTGGAAGGTTGGAAGAACTCCGCCCAACATCCCGAACTAAAGTGCTGCCAATCTGAAAGCCTCCTCGGTACCGGTGAGAGGGACTTGGAAGCGTGGTGCCAGGCTGGAGCCCTTCTCTTGCCGCATGGCCCGAGAAGAGAGAGCGAAGAGAGTAGCTCCTTTTTGCTCCAAACTTGTGGCTTTATGCTTCGAGTATATGTCTTGGTGGCATGCCGTTGCAGTCTCACGTGTACTCCACTGCATGTTCTGCGACAAGCCATCATCACCCTCTGCGCTAACCACAACTGAGCTCGACTTTGCTCCATTCATGCTCTATTCGGTGTTGTGTATTCGTGAGCAACACGTATAGCTTGCCTGTATTTTTGTCTTGTGGCAGCTTACACAATGCAGCTTCTACATGCAAACCTGTTGGGCCTGGGTCGTACCCTTTTCTCTGCCGACAGTGGCGAGGATCGAGGGTCCACTCCCCTGAAATCGAACTCTTAGCGGCAAAGCTTCGGGCCTGTTGGGGCTCTGAGGTCCGCGCCCCTCGGAGCCCTCCGGCGAGGACTCGCGGTCGCGGTGGTCGCGGTGGTCCGGCTCCTCCGCGAGCAGCTCGAGGCGAGCCTCGGCGCCGAGCTCGCTTTGGCGCCCGCGGTGTGCTGCGGGGAAAAATAAAAGCGGCCTCTCGCTCTTCCCGGCGCTGGTAGAGCCTCGTCTTGAACAAAGCGACCTGAGAGGGAAAAAAACGGGCGAACTTCGGCCGCGGTGGGGGCGGCGGGCGGCAGCCCGAGCCCGGCGCCAGGTTCGGGAACTGCCCCCGTGTCGCTTCGCCGGAGGCCTCTGCCGCGAGCAGAGAGTCGGTCCCGGAAAAACGAGCAGAGCGCAGAAACAGAGACCTCTTTTTGGCACAGGCCCCGCCGCCCCCGCCTGCGCCGCGTGCATCGCCATGCCTCGAGCGGCGTTGCTCCGGGGGGGGGGGGGGGGGGAAAGGGGGGGTCGTGCTTTGAGGCTCAGTGGCGAAAGTCTCAAGCCGAGTCTCCCACGGCTCTGGCGCTTGGATTTCTTGGCCTTGAGTTCACCTCTCACAACTGTTCAACTGCGGATCCGGTTCCACTTCGTCACTCCCCATGCGAGCCGGAGGACTTTGCAGCCGGCGACGCTGCATCGTGATTCTCAGGTCGGACATGATCCCTGAGCGTCACGGGCGAGCTGCGCGCGGTCGCGGACGCAAGAAGACAATGCTGGGTGGCCGACGCAGCTCCAACAAGCTGCGAGCTGCATCCTCCAGATCCTGCAGGCGGGCCAACTGGAAAGAAAGTGCTGATGTGGAGGCCGAGGCCGAGGCCTTCATGATGGCTTGGACGGCTTGAAGCGACAGGACAAGTGCACCGGGACCTTGCAAGTTAAACAAGGCCACAGGGGGACGGCAGGATATGGTGCGATTCCACCAGAGTACGACATGTTGACCCGCAACGGTTTTCACTGTCGTATGCAGCCCCCGCCAGTCAGGCCTTCAAATCTCGTC